GTAACCTGTGAGAGTTTAAATGCCAAATCCAGCCCCAAAATTCCGCAGCGCCCTAACTCCAGGCCTTTTCAATCCCCCTTCCTTGGGCCATTTCTTTGGGTGCCACATAGACATCATGCATCTGGTGCACAGAACTTCTCACTTTCCCACCTCTCTACAGGGTGATGCATACCCCTGGCCATGGTAGATAGCCTCCCAGCCAAAGTCTTCCTGACCAAACACCTTTTTCCCATGACATCTTTCCTGCTTGGCTCCAAAGACACAGAAAAGTCAAGACTCACATTTTGAGGTGAGGTGCCGAAAATCCTTAGAAAACTGTGGAATGTCCTATTTAGAGGAGACTTTCTCCCCTTGTCATGTCTTTCAGGCTGATTCTATCGAATTTATCCTGGAGATATGGTTGGTCAACAAAAGCTGACCCCGCCCCTGCCCCCTAAAGCAATCAACAGCTGTTACTATATTGAGTGGCAATATGATGTCATAGCATAGGTGACTAACCCACCGAGGCTTCCCTACGAGCCATCATCTAAATATGATAGCCTTCCATCATCCTGACCTTTTCACAGGAGAAAGCTGAGTGAGGGGCTTGATCCTGCCTCCTAGGGTTCAAGTTCATGTCTGACCTTCTGTAGCCACCATCTCTGACTGAGCATTTGAGGACACACATGACCACTCCCACATACAGATTTTCTTCCTGGCAAAAGGTCACTTTCGCCCAAGACAGCTTTCCTCCATTGGCCTAAGTATGAAATTAGTAGCCATCAGAATGTTTAATAATTAGTCATTAAGGAGGAATTGGGGAGAGGGTTTGTATATATTTACCATGCTCTATATATCCAGGTATTGGGTTAGACTCTTTACATATAGTTTTTCATTTGATTCTCAAAATGCTCTGAAGAAGGCATTCCAGTCCTGTGGAGTTAGGAGAAACTGGGGTCAGAGTTACAGAGCTGGTCATGACGGGGCTCTGATTTCAACTCAAGTCTCTGTGGCTCCACAGTGGACCAGACTCTGCATACAGAAAGGTATAATCACCTCACCTGGATTTTTTTTTTAATAGACTTTAATTTATAGAGAAATTATAGGTTCACAGCAAAACTAAGTGGGAGGTACAGAGATTTTTCATAAATCCTCCTGCCCCCACACATGTACAGCCTTCCCCTCTGTCAACATCCCCCACCAGGTGGTACATTTGTTCAACGGATGAACATTTATTGACACATCATTATCACCCAAAGTCCATAGTTTACAAGAGGACGCACTCTTGTTGTGCATTCTATGGGTTTGGACAACTGTATAATGACATGTATCCATCATTATAATATTGTACGGAGTATTTCCACTGCCCTAAAAATCCCCCATGCTCTGCCTTTTCATCCCACCCTCAACCCCTTATAACCACTGATCTTTTCACTGTTTCCATAGTTTTGTCTTTTCCAGGATGGCATACAGTTGGAATCATACAATATGTAGCCTTTTCAGATTAGCCTCTTACACTTAATAATATGCATTAAAGATCCTCCATGCCTTTTCAGGGCTTGATAGCTCATTTCTTTTTAGTGCCAAATAATATTCCATTGTCTGGATATACTGTGGTTTGTCCCTTCACCCACTGAGTCACCTGGCTTTTAGAACTTCATTCTTGTGTGGATCATATTGAAAGTAGAGATGGCCACAGGGCCTTGTCATCCTCTTCTGGACCACATATCTGCTTCCTCATTCCTGCCATCCACGCAGCCTCTGTGTGTGTGTGGTGGGGGAGGGGTGCCTCTTTGACATCCTTTGTCTATTTCAGCAGCCTGGGAACCAGCTATTCCTCTAGGACGAGCTCTAGGGCTGATGAGAGGCGAGCTCACATATGCATATCTACCATAAAATCAGGATATTTTCTTTGCTCCATGACAATTACACTCTCATGTTTGTCCTCCAGCCTCCAAAACAGTCATTCCTAATATGTCTCACCAGTTACCATATGCAGTTCTCTCTTTATTCTATCCCTCCAATAAGCATTTATTGAGCACCTACTATGTGTTGATTCTAGATGGTGAGTCCTTAGAGGATACTGAATGTGTTTACATAAGTTTGTATGTAGAGTCACACCCATCACAACACCCTACTCCATTAATAAATACTTTTTGATGGGGGGATGGTGCGTGTGCACATAGAGATAAAGACAAAGACAAACAGAGTGAGTGACCAAAAAGCCTGTGAGACCACCTGAAGTATTACTACCATTAAATTATATGTATTATATATAACAATATATTATAATTATAGTATTATTATTAAAAACCTTTATATAGCACTTTCTGTATTTGGGGACCTATCTAAGTGCTTTTACATAAATGGTAAATCTACTTGTTGCCTGAAAAGGCTGTACAGGCTAAAATATAAATAGATTAAAGAAAGTTTCAAATAAATTCCTGGAGGGCAGATCTATAACAAGTTATTAAAGTGGAGTTAGGAATAACCAGGGTGCATTCCTAACCAATGAGAATGATGTTACGAAGGGTAAGTGCTATAATCCAGCCCAAATCATCTTGGTCGGATGCAGGCATTTGAATGGGACAGAGCTCAGGGCCGACCCAGTGCTGACCTGAAGGGCCAATGCTCGGCAGTTAGTAGGGGACCCCTGAGCTTCCACTGTGCTGGAAGCCCGCCAACTGGCTTCTTTCCAACACTTCCACCTCTGTCAGGCCAGCAGCTGTGCCTGTCGTCCACCTCTCTCCCCCCGCCACAAAAGCCAAGCTTTGCTTTCTGTCATCCAGTGAGTCATCAGCACGGTTGGGAACAGCCCCAGGATTCCTGTTCCTTTCTTTGCTGGGGCTGTTTGCTGAAGATCACAATCCTTCCACATTAGTGGCCAGTTACACTTATGGCTCTTAATGATATTTAATGGGGCTCCTGGGATAGGAAAATGATGGGAAGTGAAGGCTGGGAGATAAAAAGTCAAAACTCGAAATGACACATAAGATCTGGATTACTGAAGGTTTAAAAATGGCAATCCAACTCATCGTGTCATTCCACTGGGAAACGGTTCCTAGGTCTGAGGAGGAATAACCACCTCACCTATCCGGAGACTGGATGGGAGAGAAAAGAAAGGGGAAGTGGGAACAGCCGGGGGTCCTCAGAAATTGTGTTCTCCAATTCTTTCCTATGACTTCATCTCTATATTTACCTCAAGTCACCGTTTATCTTCCCTTCCATCACATATGACATATTACAGTTTACGATGCGCATTTATGCCCACTGTTCGACCTGAGACTTATAACACAGATGTGATCCGTGGAAAGAGCACTGGATTAGAAGTCAGGTGACTAGGACACTACCTAACAGGCCGTATGACCCCCAGACAGGTGACCTCACCTGGACCTTAGTTTCTTAATTATAAAACAGGGGCTAGCCCGGTTGGCCTGAAGGTATCATACTGGTCTAGGCTTCCATATATGTGTGTCCAGCCCCAGTATAGAGAAAGAAGCTGCTGCCCCAACAGCTGAGGTTTTCTTCATTTCCTTCCGAGGCTGTGGTGGGAGCACGCACAGGTGTTTGTTTGGTCACAGGCTTCAGGAAACATGGCAGAACAGGAAGAGCAGTGAGCAGTGACTCCATCAGCATGATAGAGTGGACCGGAGCAGAGAACACAAAGAAGAGAGTTTGGTGGTGGCTGGAGACTGGGTACAGGGAAGAGGAATTAGTTTTAAATGACTCCAAGAGGTAGGCAGGGGAGAAAGGTCCTGGTAGACCTGGTGTGTGTAGCTGTGACTCTCAGCCAAGGACCAGTAATGATTGTTAAAAGGTCACAGTGACAGCAGCTCACCCACTAGGCTCCATTTCTGGTACACAGGTACCACCATTTTGCTCAAAACTTTGAGATGCTGTTGCTGTCTCTAATTTATTTTTGGTGTGAACATGCTGGTCCAACCAGAAATTTTCTGTTGCTATATGTAGAGGGGATTATAAGGGAGGAGAAACAAGGTATTTCTTCTGCATTTCAGTAGAGCTGGCTGCTGGTATGCCAGGTGAGGATGCTTTAAGCAAGATGGCCTCTTTAGTTTCAAGAGAGGAAACAGAGAATCAAGGGTAGGCCTGGCAAGGCTGGGACTAGGTGAGTGAGGTGCGGAAGGTGCCAACCCCAAGGAGCCACTTGTTCTCAGGAGGAGCACCTGACAGTGAGCTCCTTCTCATTTGCCTTACCCTGAGGCCTGGCCCTTCCTTCTCTGGGGATCTTCTGGCATGGATGGGTTACTTGGAACTGGGTTGTGTTGAATGGGAAAAAGCTAGTTCTAGGTTCAATACATCCGGAATAAGACATACATTTCATAGCTCACTTTATCACAAGAAACATAGACTTGGGGTCCAGCTGATCTGGAAATGATTTCCTGTTTGCCATTCTTTAGCCGTGTGACCTAAGGAAACATACTTAACCTCGCTGTGCTTCAATTTCCTTCCTCATCAGTAAAACGGGGATAACACCAACTCAGAGATAGGAGGATTACAAGAGGGGAGAGAGAGGATAATGAAAATACCTGCCATATAGTAAACCTCAGTAAATTGTTAGTTCCCCATGAGGCTGTGATAATTTTGAGTGGTCACCTGTCAGACAGGGTTCCTGCTTCTGGATGCTTCCACAGGCAACATTAGCATAAGAGGAGGATTTGGAGATCAGTTTACAAATTTCACACTCAGAGAGTTAAATAAGTCGTTTCTGGTCATACAACTGATGACAGAGTTTGGACAGTCCAAAACTGAGAAAAGGGCCAGGCTGGCCCAAGTTGATGGATCGTGTCAACAGTCAAACCACAGCCTTTCTCTACCAGCAGAGATGGATGCTATGGGGAGGGGCTGTAAACGAAGGAATAGGGCGTCAAGGGCCCTAGAAAACTTTGACTTTTGGGTCAGGATCAGACTCTGGTTAATCAAGGAGGGCTTCCAGGAAGAGGTTCTGGGGTTTCAGGGAACCCTTGGGGGCTCGGTTGCTCTCCTTTTTTCATCATCATCTCAACAGTTAACAATTCTCTGTACAAAGGGATATAAGACAGGGTCTGTCTCTACGGTTGGCTGAGTGGTCATCTCCAGATTTTCCATCATCCGAGGCCTGTTCCCTTTAAGGCATTGAAACTCTGTGAACTTTCTAGGGTAGCCTCGCGGCCTCCCCCAGACGCGCTTACGTCACCGTTCGGGGAAGCGGCTGACGTCAGCGCGTCCTCGGCGAGTGGGGCGGGGCCGTGACTCATCGGGACCGCGCCTCAGGCCCCGTGCGGCCGGGCGCACGTGAGCACGCACTGCGCTGCTTCTAATTTAAGCTCCAGCGGCTCTGGTGGGGTCAGGCGAGGTAAAGGCGAGCAGAGGGGGCTAGGGGGTTGCGGGCGCGGTTCTTTCAGTCCCTTGTTGCCCCGCCGTCGGTCCGGGCCCGGCCGGACTGGAAGTGCTGGAGCGCTGGAATTCCTGAGGCCGGTCCCGAAGGGTCCCCGCAGCGTGCAAGCCCGGCCCTCAGCTCGCCTGCCTCAGAGTTGGCGCTCAATAAACGATCCGAGGTTCCTTCCTGGACGGCGACTCAGAACTTCTCAGGGGGCCAGGGTTCTGTAAAGTTTCCCAGTGAGAGCCGGGCAGTGTGGGCTGAAGTCAGAACGGAGATGGGTTGGTGAGGGCCCCGGCAGGCGGAGTGGACCGAGCCCGTCGGCGCCCATCCCCAGTGGACACATGGAGCTATTGCTCAGCGTCTCCTGGCTGCCCCAGCCTGGCCGGCGTTGCCGTCAGCACGGATGGGGGTGCGGCGCCCGGGGTCCCCACTGAGCCGGCGAGCCGAATTCGGCCTGGCAGTGGGAAGAAACGCTCCCTACGTGGTGTGAAGGGCGGTGGCCGTTCTAGGGTCAGGCCAAGCACAGGGGCTTGAAGGTCACCAGTTGAGAAGCCAACGCTGATGCCACAAAACCCAAGTGCTCCAGCCCGAGCCTGGGGCATACTAAGGTGACATTCCAGGAAGCAGATAAAAGCTTCGTTTTAGAGAAAGTAGTGCCAGACATCCAGTGAAATCCACTCTCTCCCAGTCTTTGGCAGGGAGGGAGTGGGGAGCGATCTGGAAAGTTCTGTCAGCGTAAAGTGAACTGTAATTGACTTTGCAAAATGGTCTGCCATGTCACAGTGACCTGTATTTTGTTGATGTGTTGTTTTCACGGGGTTTGTCTCCGTAGGCATCTTATAAAATGGGGAAGCCTTTGCCCTTGTTAGATGAAAAGTGTTGGATGTTACAAAGGAATATTAAATATAAAGGTGAACTGGAGTGTCAGATGGTAGTATGGACACGTTTTTTGAAAAAACGTGTGTCCCTTTCATTGCAATGGAAAATTAATTGTGGAATAAAGGTAGCATTAGGGATTATGACATGAGTGAATAACAGAAATCCGTAAATCCAAACGTATAATTTTCATTTGTGTTTCAAAAATACCACACTGGCCGTTTGTAAATGGGAGATTTTTCAGATATAAATAGTGGAACTGTGAGTTTCTAGGACTTTCCTCATTCAGAATCCATTTTAACAGTTTAAAAAGAGGACATGTAGTTACAGACATATAGGTACAAATACATTCAAAAATATGTATATAGTTTTATATTCATATAACAACAGAAGTCTCTCCTAATTTTGTATAGCTGCCACATTTTCCTTAATGCCTGTTTTGGGAGGGTCTTAATTTGAGCAGGTGTGAAAGATAATCATATTTGCAAACTGAGCTAATTTCCCTTTAGGTTATTGTGTGTGTATGTAATGTATAAGAACTTTAACATAAAAGACCTCATATTCAGAAGTTAAGGGTTTTAGTCCGGAAATTGAATTTTTGCTTGAAAAATACTTAACCTTGGAGTGGGCCACCTGCATCCTGTAGCATTTTGGTGAAGTCTTTCTTCTCTGTCCCCAAGTTGTACCTGCTCTCTTTGAGCTACATCTGTTTCTTAGTTATTGTTCACTGTGTTGTGATTGTTTGCTTCCATGTTAGTTTCACCCACTAGATAAAGCTCTTGGGCCTCATACTAGTGTCTTTGTCTTTATATCTGGCATCTGGAATAGTGTTAGCATGTAGTAAGCTACATTTTTTGTAGCATTTTGTTTTATTAAGTAAATGTAGGTTACCAAAACCAGATTGCACATTTGGGGAAGGGAGGGGTTTTTATAGTTGAGAGGATGGAACTACAGACTTCTATAGCTGGGGTAAGGGAAACAGTTTTCTTCTTTCCAGGCCCACCCTAACTCCTTCCCCACTCCCACGACTACCATCACCCATGAGGAAGGAACCAAGGAAAATAAAAACAACAACCAAACATTATTTGGGGATCTAAGTGGTGTGGTGTGCTTACATTTAAGATGGTGGAACTTCGTACTGTTCACAAGGCCATAACTGTAATCCACACACTGGTATTAAATTCTTGTCACAGTTGGCTAGTCTTTACATTTAAAAAAAAAAAAATAGAAACTTCACAACTTCTGCTGATTCTGTGAATTTAGTTAAGATTGGTTGCTAAATGGAATGTTTACATTTGAAGTAGAATCAGTTTCTGCACAGTGATACTTCATGCCAACTCAGAGATTTAAGGATGTAAAATGAGATTGTACTTATTCCCTTCCCAAGAAGTTACCGTTGTCAGGGGGATTTTTGCTGTAAAGCTTCTAGTCCTCTCTGTTTTTGTGAAAGTTACTTTCTATGTTTCATCACACTCATATACCTCTTTGCATGGGAAAATTCAGCTGAACTTTCTAAAATCCTCATTAAAATCTTGTTAAAACTTTTCCAAACACACATCACTCTTTCTTGACTTAACACTGTGAATGCAAAAAGGTGGAATTTCTGATTTAGAATTCTGCAGAGATACTAGGTCATTACTGAAAATATTAATCACTGTAACATACTACATATTTATTTTCAAAACTAAATCTCTGATAGCAACTTATTTTGTTGCCATTAGCCTTTCATAAAATTAAGTGTGGCATCAATTCCAGTTTGCTAAGAGTTCTGTTTAGAATATAAACATTAATCTCATCAAAAACACCCTCACAGACACACCCAGAATAACATTTGACCAAAAATCCCCTGTAGACTAGTCAAGTTAATAAATCAACTATCACACAGATCTATTTGATTTGCAAAGCCCATGCTCTCTACATTATGTCACAATGTCTCCCTCCCATTCTGGGATTCCCAAAGTACCTTTAACCCTGGGTCTTTGTCCTCTCATCTGGAAAGTCTGTCAACATTCACCCCACTCACACCTGACAAACACCTACTTAGTTCAGGTATTTAAATATCAGTAACCAACTCAGAATCCCCTTCCTCAAGAGCACACACAATACAGCCATTTCCTTCCTTAGAATAACTTCCCAGCTTTCTAATTATACTCCAAGCTTTCTGATTTTCTATTCACATAACCCTTTGAAGTAATTCCCTCCACATTAGCAAATCCCCCCTGACTTCTTGTTCAGTTCTCTTCATTGACCTCTTTGAAGGGCCAGATGGTACAGCCTGGGGAGCCCACGAGCTTCCCTTCTCTTAACTGCCTTCTTAGGTCCAACCTTTCTTACTATTCTTAACTCACTCCTGTCATCACTGTCACTGTCATTTAGAACTCTAACCTTTCTACCCTCTACCCGCAACAGAAGCAACTGTCATTGCAGGTACCTCACTTGGTTAAGTTAAGACTCGTGAACCCACATCCCAGAGAGCGCTTATTTAAAAATACTTCTATGACGTACGTACTTTTAATAAATATTGTTTATTAAATTTAGTTACTTGATTACAATTTTGGAAAGAAAAATTCTTAGAGTAATTTTGCCTAGTTGGCACTATTCTGTTACGTCCTAGGACACCTTACCTCAGGGGTCCCCAACCTTAGGGCCTTGGACTGGTACTGGTTCTTGTAGCCTGTTAGGAACAGGGCCACACAGCAGGAGGTGTGCGGAGGGTGGGAGCGAGCAAAGCCTCATCAATGTTTGCAGCCGCTCCCCAGCGCTAGCATCACTGCTTCAGCGCCACCTCAGAGCATCAGGCTTAGATTCTCATAGGAGCACCTGTCCCTGGTGCCAAAAAGGTTGGGGACTGCTGCCTTACATAGATGTCCTGATATAATACTGCTCCTTCAGCATTTTTCATGAATAGCCTCAGAGCATTTGTTCTTAGCAAGTTATGTTCTTTAATATCCAGAACATTTTCATTCCCAAATAATGCTTTGAATACCTTCTCTGCCTTATAGGTTTTAACAGGTTATGTATTATTAAGGATAAAAACATTGGAAAACATTAAAAGACACATGGACAAAATCAGATTTTATTGATATTCAAAGATATAGTTGAGCCTGTCTAGCTTCTAAAACTAAAAGTTTTAAGATGGGTTCTGGAAGATGAGCTTCATTGGGAGAGGGCAGTTGTTACAGATAGTTGTCATATATTAAGTTATCACTTAAGGTATTTTTCATTCTTCTAAAAGGTCATTTACCAAGCACAATACACTTAAAGGGTTGGTTTTTTTTTTTTTTTAATTAAAGCCACAAATAAAAATAAACTCTTCTATATTAGAAAAAAAATCAGGTGTGTATTTTTTGATTGACAATGACATCTACCACAATTATATTACTTTAATCAAGGCAAGAGAGCTCTTCCTGTTTACAGTACATTTGTTCCAGGGTTTCTAGGTCTTGAAATTCTATTACCCCTCCTAATTTAAATTGACTTGGTTGGCTTGGGTATGTCTGGTAGAATAAAAACAGAGTATTAAAGAGGAGACATCACTTGATTAGCCCTTCCTGTGTTCTTAAAAGTGTTTTTTTTTTCAAATTCAATTTTGAGGAAAACGATCATTTCTTTTCCTTTGCCTTTTTAAGAAACTGAGCTATAATTATGTTTTAGAATGTAATTGAATCTACCGATTAAGAAGCCAGCTGATAATTCTTTGTCCTTAACTGTTAAATGTAAAGTTTTCAATATATTATGTAAGCAGAATTTATGGTAATACTATGGAAGTTTAAATCATTGAAATTTTTAACATTTTCTGTTTGGGATTAAAGTACACACACACACACACACACACACACACACACACACACACAGCATTGCCTTAGTAACATTTTGGTTATAATAAAGGTTTTGCAATCCAAATCCTTATTTTAAAAAAAAGACTCACATTTTTCTTATATCTTATTTTAGAATATCGATATTGATAATTGTATAATATCAAATCGGATTATTAGCAGCATAAACACAAAAAACTACCAAAACTCCTTCACTCTTGAAGAGAAAATTTGTTTTGCACCTAAATTGTAAATTGTATTTTAAATTGTATTTTATTTTTTGCTAGGTAATTAAGATTTTAGGCTTTTGTCTTGTTTTTAAGTCAGGTTTAGTGAGGTAATTTACATGCAGTAAAATTCATTCTTTTAGGTATAAAGTTCTATGAATCCTGACAAACAGTCATAATCATTACTGCAATCAAGTCAGAACATTTCTACTACCCTAGAAAGTTTACTGTGCCTCTTCGTGGTCAATCCCTTTCCTGAAGATAAAATTTTAAGTAAAATGAATGATATAAGACTTGTGAAAACATGCCTGGTATACAGGCCTTGGGCCATTGTTGTTATAAACTGAATTACAACTTTAGAGGGAAGGAAATGTAATTGAAACAAATCTAAGATTTTGAATATATTACTCTAAAATGATTGGGTAGGTGTTACAAACGAAAGAGAAGGATTGATTTTATTGTTTTGGTCCATCTCCCTGATGTATGTTTATAGTGTATTTTTCTTTACCCTATGTCCATTTACCCAAATATCAGGATATGACTAAATCCTTAAGGCATTTTCTCTTGCTACCTTGTGTTTTAGTCTTTTCAGTGAATATTAAAAGTGGAATATTTTTTCTGCCCTCCTGAAATAAGCAACTTAAGAGCAAGGACCATGTCAGCTTAATTTATTTATTACCATACAAAGATATCTGTACAAAGAAGCCTAAAGATTTGTTAAATTAATGAAATTTTCTTTAATGTGAATGGTTTCAAGCTGAGCAGAGAGGGATCTGAGAATAACTTGGATTTTCTCAAGTAAACATTGAGAGTATTGGTAATAGTAGGTTAAAACTTAAAACTTGGTTAAAAACCCAGGCTTTAGAGTTGGACCTAAATTTGAATACCAACTTTGTCATTTAGCTGTGAAACAAGGCAAATTTATTTCTCTGGGCATCAGTTTTCATATATGTAAAATCCAAAACAAAACAAAATGCATGTCCCATGAGAAAAGCAGTGAGGAGGAATTTGGAGTTTAACCGTTTGGAACAGTGTCTTGCTCATAGCCCAATTCTTTCAACTTGCAACTTTCAAAAGTTACTTGTACACTGGGTACCACAGTTGTCCATAGTGGAGGAGAGAACAGACTCTTTGAATGGCACATACAGGTGGCTAGAACTGGCCTGTGATCTCAAAGGGAATAATTACTCCTAATTTGTCTTTTGGTTAATTACTCATTTTCATTTATTGGATTTTCTCAGGAAAGAAAGAAGAGTGGCAATACAGAAGAGAAAGGAAACAAGATGGGGAAGTTGAGAAAGGGAAAGATGTTTATTGAATGAATGATTGAACAAATGATGAATGAATGAATAAAGAGAGCAAAACACCAAAACGAGAATATTGTCCTATATAAGCCATCTTGTTATGTGACATCTATAATAAAAAAGAGATAAAAGTAAAGGAGTTATACAAACAACACAAAAAATAGGCAAATGTTTTGGGAAAATAAAGCAAGAATGCAAAAGTTTCTTTTTTTATACAGTGCTAATTTGTATACATTACATTGTATTAAGATTCGGAAAACAGTGCCTACTCTGATTTCCTAAAGTTGTTATATAATTTGACCCGTACAATGGTAATAGAGCAACCAAACAAATAATGAAACAAAAAATGCCGTTTTTTCTTGCCCAGTGAGCACAGAAAAATGAATTTTCTATGCCCATCCAAACTATCAAATTTGAGGGTAGAATAAAGACAATTTCAAATAAATAAATTCTCAAAAATTAATTCTCTTTGCTTTTGTTTCAGGAAGCTATTGGAAGGAGTACTCTATCAAAATAAGGAAATGAACCTAGAGGAAGGTGTGAGATGCTGGAACCAGGGACTCCAACCAGTGTTACAAAGGAATAGAGGTAACTTTAAAAAATATTCATAATATGGAAGATTGAAATAAAAATTGAAGGAGTACTGGTGAAAGAAAAAGGTGTAAGAAAATAGAAGGTATAAATAAGAGAAAGAGAAGTACATACTCTGAGCCTATACAATTTCAAGAATAGGAGGGTAAATCTGGCCCTTAAGTTTCCTAGCATCCAAAGCAAAAGGAAAAATATTCTCAATTGCAAGTTGCATAGATCAAAACAAAGCGGTTATTTCCTGAAAGGCCTGTTGTAGATATGAAAGGATCCTTTGCTCTTAATTTTACTTCTACAATAGAATATTTCTGTTTCTTATAGTGTATCCTATGGCCCTCAGCATCATTATGTAAAGGCAGTTCTATAGAGACTAAATAATATTTTCTGAAGTGAACCACGGGCATGTGAATGGATAGTGGGGTTATTATTAATTGGCATCCCACCAAACTTCATGGGAGGCTAGAATAATGTTAGTAGGTAAGTCTACTATCCTGAGCTATTTATCTCTTGCCACACACTGACTCCCTTGAAGCAAAACAAGATTTTCGAACTGCACTTGCCCTCCTTAGGAGGTGATTTAGCAACTCTCTGGTTGCTGGAGCATGTTCATCTGGGGTCTCGTGCCCCACCCCAAATGGCTCATCATAGTATGCCTTCCTACCTTAATTTCTGAGGGAAATTTTGGTAAATACACTTTTCTTTAATGTACTACATTTCTAATAATGTTTTAGTATCTTTACACTAGATTTTCTGGCTGTCTTAGTGATCTAACTCTGAATCCAGTCTAGATAGGAAACTTTCTGATGGCCCTGTTCCTTCAGCAGGTAACATCCAGGATATCATATTCCTCAAACAATCTTCCATAAGCATTTATTTCCTACCACCAGGCTTATATTAATAATTAAGTTTGCATTTAGTTAAAAGCTGTAAAGTTTGGATAAGTAACTAGAATTTTCAGTTATCTATCACTTATCATCCCCCTAACTAATGATGAAAAGTTACAGTACCACCTATATAGATCTCAATTTTGAAAAATTCAATCCCTTAGCCTTTCATTTGATATATTTTCCATTAATAATAATCTTAATGGAAAATCAGGTATAATTTTTATTACTCATTGAGTGTTAGCTATTATTAAACCAGTACTTCAATAGTTTTTGAATAATCATTGGAAAGAAATATATGGTTTAAATAGCTTTTGAACCAACCTTTGGAAAGATAAAATTTTGTGCTATTATCTCTTTTGCGTCTTATAGAATATGTTTATTTACATATAATAGCTAAATCTTTCTGACATCCTAAAATTCAAAATCTTTAGAGAAGACTTCTGTTTGTATAGTATTATTAACTGCTCTTTTCCAAGAAGCTTATTAATAGGATTATTTTTCAAAGAAATATACTCCCTGCCTGCCATTTACAGGCCAGTTATCACTATGCAAGTATTTCTGTTGTCTTTAATAGAAATGCTTGAAATCGAAGACTAGAAAATGGTAGCCTGATAGAGTCCATGGCAACATTTTTAGTTTGACCTGAAGTAAGTTACCATATGGTAAATGAAATTCAATGACATAATATTTCTTCATGGTTAAATCTACATTTAGCATTGCTGTAAAATTATATTTAACCAGCTCTTTTATTTTTCATGACTACTGTTAATTTTTGGCTCTTTTTAAAAATAGAAACTGTTTTCTCAAACTTGATATGATTTATAAACAATGATTTCTGAAATACTGAATGTTGTATTCCTATAAATAGAACTGTAATAAATTTAGGAATAATTTTTGTAAGTGAGAAAATATCACAGATGTTGAAGAGTTTTTTAAAATTTTTTTCCAAATTTAGCAAACTATTTTGACTTTAGAAAAATCTGTACAATAAGAATTTATAGGAGTGACATCAGCAAGATGGCAAAGTAGGAAGCCCTGGTGCCTTCTTCCCCACAAACACACCAGTTCATGAACAAATTAACTTTGTGAGAAATCCACAAACTAATTGAAAGGCTCTCACACTGTGTGCAAATGTGAAACCAGACTCACCAAAACCAGCAGGGGAATTCAAGACACCCTCTCACCAGAGTCCCTGCCCCCAGCACAGCACATACAATCAGGGAGACCACCTTAGCTCCCAGCTTCTCCAGAGGAAGGAAGAGTTGGTTTGTACATCTAGCACTCCAGCTTTTCCAAGGGGGCTCCCCAGAGGAATGGCTTCTGTTTTGCAAGACTTGGAACTCTGACAAGTCTGGCATAATCTAGCCATCTGCAGGAGAATGGAGTTAGCGGTGTGGGCTAGTAGATGTCATAGATCTTCCCTCCTGCTTAGCACAGAGTGAATAAATGAAAAACCCAGCTCTCGGTTATCCCTTGGGGAGGAAAAGAGTTAATCCACATATCCAGCACCCCAACTTCTCTGGGGCTGGTCAAAGAACTAGAATCTGACTCGCCAGTCTTGGAGCTCTGATGAGTGGTATAGTCTAACTGCCTGGGGGAGAATGGAGACAACAGTTTGGACTGATAAATGCAATAGCTCCCCCACCCCCATCTCAGTACAGGGCAAGTGGACAAAAACACAGCTTCTTGCTTCTCCCTGGGGAGGGAAAGGGTTGATAGAGGCCCCCAGAATCTCTGGTGGGGATGACTGGTGGGAGTCTTCTCTTAGATGAGGCCAGCCCATGAAGGTTAGGAGAGGTGCCTGCTTTGTCTAACGTACAGACACCAACATAGAGAGACAAGGAAAATGAAGAATTAGGCAAAGGTGTTCCTAACAAAGGAGCAAGATAAATCTCCAAAAACTGACCCTAATGAAACAGAGAATTGATAGAGAATTCAAAATAACTGTCATAAAGACTTACTGAGGTCAAATGGAAAATGCATGAACAAAGTGAGCATTTCAAAGACATAGAAAACATTTAAAAGTACCAACAGCAATCATGGAGCTTAAAATACAATAACTGAACTGAAAAATTCACTAGTGGGGTTCAACAGTAGACTAGATCAAGCAGAAGGAAGGATCAGACAACTTGAAGACAAGTTATTGGAAATAATTCAGTCAGAGGAGCAAATATATAGACAAATCTAGAATACTGTATTAATGTAATGGTGGTGGGTAAATCACTTTTAATTCTAGTATAAAAGTTAAAAGATCAAAGTATTAAAATGAATATAACTAAAAAATATGTTAAAAGATATACAATATGAATAGATGTAAATAATGACAACAATAACAAAGTGTGTGGGAGGGTGGGGTGAAGTTAAAATGGAATTTTTGTATGTAATTGAACTTAAATTGTTATCAGCTTAAAATATACTATTATAACTATAAGATATTTTGTGTAAGGTCCAAGGTAATCATACACACATACACGCACAAAAATTTCTATAGAAGTTACACAAAAGAAAAAAGAGAATGGAAGCAAGGCATACCAATGCAAAAAAGTCCAAACATAAAGGAATTCAAAAAGAGAGAGAAAAACAGACAAAAAAAGTACAAGACTAACAAAAACAACTAACAAAACGGCAATAGCAAATTGTCCCTATGAATAATTACTTTAAATGTAAATGGATTAAATTCCCCTATCAAAAGGCATAGAATGACTTAATAGATTAAAAAAAAAAAAAAAGACCCAACTATATGCTGTTGATAAGAAACTCACTTAACATTTAAGGACACACATAGGCTGAAAATGAAGGCAAGGAAAAAAATACTCCATGCAAATGGTAACCAAAAGAAATGGGGGTAGCTATACACATATCAGAAGAAAAATAGACTTTAAGTCAAAACTGTTACAAGAGACAAAGAAGGATATTATATAATGGTTAAAGTTCACTCTACCAGGAAAATGTAATAATTGTATATACACCATCAGAACACCTAAATATGTAAAGCAAAGACTAATAGAAAGGAAGGGAAAAATAAATAGTAATATAATAATAACAGAAGACGTCAATACCCCACTTTCAATAACAGAACATATAGATAGATAGAAAATCAGTAAGGAAACAGAGAACTTGAACCAACACTTTAGATTAATAAGGGTATGCAGAATATACGTTCTTCTCAAGTGCATGTGGATCTTTCTGTAGTAAAGCTCAAGTTAGGGTACAAAACAAGTCTTAGAAAATTTAAGAAGATTGAAATCATATTATATATATTTTGACCACAAGGGAATGAAACTAGGAATCAATAGCAGAAGAAAAACTGGAAAATTCACACATATGAGGAAATTAAACAACACACTCCGGAAAAACCGTTGGGTAAAAGAAGAAATCATAAAAGAAATTAGAAATACCTCAAGATAAATAATGAAAACATACCAAAACTTATGGGACACAACAAAGCCATACTAAAGGAAGTTCATAGTGACACATTAAAAAAGAAGAAAGTTCTCAAATAAACAGTCTAATTTTATACTTCAAGGAGCTAGAAAAAGAACAGACTAAGCATAAAGTTAACATAAAGAAGGAAGTGACAAAAATTTGAGCAGAAATAAAGCAGAAAATAAAAAACATAAGAGAAAAATCAATGAAACTAGGAGTTGGCTTTTTGAAAAAGAAAATTGATGAATCTTTAGAAAGACTAAAAAAATGAGAAGACTCATAAAATCAGAAATGAAAGAAGAAACATTATAACCGATGCCACAGAAATGAAAAGGATCTCATGAGACTACTATGCCAACAAATTTGATAACCTAGAAAACATGGATAAATTCCTAGAAACATATAACCTATCAAGACTACATCATGAAAAATAGAAAGTCTGAACAGGCTTATAACTAGTATGGAGATCAAATCAGTAATCAAAACCCTTCCAACAAAGAAAAGCCCAGGATGAGATGCCTTCCCTGGTGAATTCTGCCAAACATTTAAAGAAGAATTAATGCTAATTCTTCTCAAACTCTTTCAAAAAATTGAAAATTAGGGAACAGTTCCAAACTAATGAGGCCAGCATTACCCTTATACCAAAGCCAGACAAAGATACCACAAGAAAAGAGAACTACATGCCAA